CCCCCCCCTCAGTCTGCCTTTATTCTGGCCCTAAACCCGGTCTATTCTTTTGGCATTTAAAGAACAGCATGTTTCAACCACCCGTCCATAAATCACCTTTGTGTTTGCACTGTTACCTCCTGCTCTGTTTCTGTTTTGGTACTACTGTCTTCTCTCCAGACAGGTGAGCTGTGGCCAGGAAATCACTTATGCATACTTAGCTGGTAGAGAAAAGGAGCAAGAGAGAGCTGACACCAACACCCAACACCTACAGAGTCAGAAGAAGGGATACCTCCTCATCTCCACCTCACAGTTCTTTTTCCTCCCATAAGCTTTCTTGATCTGTGCCACTCCCCTCTTTTTCCCCATTTGTATCTTGTAGCTCCTGCTCAGTACCTTCAGAGGCCTCAGCTGAATAGATTTTCTCTCGCTTCCAGCAGCAAATGTCTGGCATTGTTCCTTGTGACCAGTGTTGAGTGACACAGGACCCTGCCAAACTGAAAGGAAAAGAAAGGTCTTAGGAGATTATCACATCTCAGTCTCATACTTAAATGAGTAATTCATAATCAGTGGTACTTCCCACCCAACCAACCTTTTCTTAAAATTGTGAAATAATTTAGATTGGGAGGGACCTATGAGGTCTCTGAAGCTCCACAGACATTATAGGAGTGTGTGGTCCACAGTATCTTCCGACTTAGGTCATCACCCTCCTATGACTCATTGTGATTTGGGTTTTTAAAGCCCTGTCCCTTACTACAGGGAGATCTGTATAGACAGAAAAATCGGTGTCTTGGACACTACTCTGGATTTGGTCTTAAATCCCTGCTCCATTACAGACCACAGGAAGGGACTTAAGCCAAGAATTCATGCAGGCTGGTCCTGAACTACTGAAACTCTCAGCAGATGGCTATGTAACTCTGATCTGACACCCAAGCTGATAACAAACCTACAAAACAGCTCTTGAAACATGTAGTAAACTCTTCTCTGGATACCCCTAAGGAAAAGATCTCTAATCTGCTTTTACACTCTGGAAAAATCCCGCTGAATATTTTGTCTCCTAAACAAATTGTGCCTGGTCTTTTTATCCTCCAGCTCTCTATTGAAGAAGCTGAGCTAGTAACATTTCCCTGCCACCACAAGAGAGTTGTGAGAACAGATGCACTGCATGACAGCAACGTCCCCTGCAGGCGCCATGGATGAATTTGAGACAGTAATATCCAAATGTGTCCACCTAGACTGGAGTCTTCTTTGCCAGAGGCAACACAAACCAACTTCATTGTGATCCTTCAATCATTTCTACTCCTCACATTACAGAGAGATGCCCATACAGATAAATGGAAAAAATTACCAAAAGGCCTGGAGCTAATGGAACAGAAACTGGAGCTTTCACTGGTATATTTAACCACATAACTTTAGATACAGGTAATATTTAGAAATCAAAACTGTCATGTATCACACATACATAGGGTTAATGATGTGAAAACACAAATAGTGAAGTAGATACAGGGCAACTCTGAACGTGTCACAGAAATCCCATCTTCCTTTTTCTAGCCCTGTGGGTCACAACTGGTCTCTGAAGGAGACCAATCTCTGAATGGTTGTGCATGTTCCACATGGCCAACCTTGAGCCTCTACCACAAACACCATGAGGAAAAGCCTCTCCCTGTATACAATTCACCTTGGATGTAAATCTAGTGTTACTCTTTTTCCAAATCCTCAGCCACCTCCTGTCAAAGCCCAGAACAAGGACAAAGACATTGATAAAAGATGAACATGACAAGAGAAGCATTAAAAATTAGGGACTTAGAAGAGGAAGGAACCCAGAAACACTGGTTCAAAGAGTGTAGACAGCATGATGGTCTGTGCATCTGCAAGCCTGGAGGTCTGAAAGGGAACAGAGACATCACCCCAGAAAAAAATTATCATATGGGGAAATGTTTGAGAAGCAGTAAATTAATAGCTGGCTATGAATCCAGACACAGAGTTTAAGCCTCGTTCTGGACTGATATTGAAGGCAGCACACTGGAAACCCAGCTGAAAAAAAAAACCCAAAACAAAACACAAAACCCAACAAACATAACAAACCAAAACCAAACCAAACCAAAACACAAAAAAACAAATTGCTCTTTCAGGCTGGATAGCCAGCGGCTGCTTGATGCTAGCCATGGCCCTCGCCCGGTGTTCTCTCTGCTGCAGACCGCAGCACGCCCTAATCCTGCGATCGCATTGTGCCCTACACTGCATCTTCAACTCAGAAAGGGGATGAAGAGTAGGACAGAGAAGAATATAGGAAAGACAGCTGGACTAGGTCCCTTCCTACCTGAATTATCCTACGGTCCTGTGACAACAGGGCTGGTTAAAGGGCAGAAAGAGCCGAAAGGGAACAAGAAAACTGGGATGCATTTTCCGCACTCCCTCAAGAGCCTCCAACAGCACACTGAGAAAAGTCCACGCCGGAGCAGCACCCTCCCTCCGGCAAAAACACCCCGTGCAGCGGGGCGGGGCGAGGCGGGGGCCGGCAGCGGGGCCGGCCCCGGGGACCCTCCGCCCC